TACCAATTGTTTTCTTGGTGACTGTGGTCCCAGCTGCCTGGAGATCATTGACAAGATCCTCACGTGTAGTTCTGGGATGATTCCTCAACTGTTCTCATGATCATTGACACTCCACGAGGTGAGATCTTGCATGGTGCACCGACCTAGGGAGACTGACACTTGTTTTGTGTTTCTTCCATTTGTGAATGATTGCACCAACTGTTGTCACCTTCTCACCAAGCTGCTTGGCCATAGTTTGGTAGCCCAGTCCAGCCTTGTGTAGGTCTACCATCTTGTCCCTGACATCCTTGGACAGCTCTTTGGTCTTTGCCATGGTGGAGAGTTTGGAATCTGATGGTTTGATGGCTCCTGTGGACAGGTGTCTTTTATACAGGTAACACAATGAGATTAGCAGCACTCCCTTTAAGAGACTGCTTCTAATCTCAGCTTGTTACCTGTATGAGAGACACCTGGGAGCCAGAAATCCTGCTGAATGATAGGGGATCAAATCCTTCTTTCCCTCATGAACATGCAGATCCGTCATCATTTGTTAGACGCATTTCTGCTGAATTTGTTGTTGTATTCTGTCTCTCAGTGTTACAGCGAACATTCCATTGTTAGACCGATCATTTCTGTGTGAGGGGCGAACATTCCATTGTTAGACCGATCATTTCTGTGTGAGGGGGGAACATTCCATTGTTAGACGATCATTTCTGTGTGAGGGGGGGACGGACATTCCATTGTTAGACCGATCATTTCTGTGTGAGGGGCGAACATTCCATTGTTAGACCGATCATTTCTGTGTGAGGGGGCGAACATTCCATTGTTAGACCGATCATTTCTGTGTGAGGGGCAGACATTCCATTGTTAGACCGATCATTTCTGTGTGAGGGGCGAACATTCCATTGTTAGACCGATCATTTCTGTGTGAGGGGCGAACATTCCATTGTTAGACCGATCATTTCTGTGTGAGGGGCGGACATTCCATTGTTAGACCGATCATTTCTGTGTGAGGGGCGAACATTCCATTGTTAGACCGATCATTTCTGTGTGAGGGGCGGACATTCCATTGTTAGACCGATCATTTCTGTGTGAGGGGCGAACATTCAGCATCAGCCGGGGGAGCAAATACACATTTCCTTCACTGTATGCCCTGTTGTTGGTGTCAGTGGCAATTTTAAGGAGGCCGGATTATGTCCAGTGGCAGGAGTTTATGCCCCATTGTTAGTTTCAGTGGCAGGAATTATGCCCTGTTGTAGGTGTCAGTAGTAGGAATTATGCCTCAAGGGCCAGATAAAGTCAAGCAAAGGGCCAAAGTTTGGGCAACACTCCAAAGTCTTATTATTTGACAGGAGAACCTGGACCATTAGAAGGAAAGAGGGGGAGAATGTATTATGTCTTCTGACATAATTGGGTCCAATGGGACGTGAACCTGAAGTGCTGCTCTTGGCTCCGGCCACACATGTTGGCCCCAGGATCACAGTGAGAGACCCATTTTTGGCCACTGTGGCCACGTAGCAGATCAGCTCTGTCGGAGATGTGGAGATAGCTGGATATTTCCCAACACAACGCATTGAAGGTTCTCCTCATGGTGTCATGGTGGAGTGTGGTGGATGTCTTCTGCAGCAGATGACACAACTTACCGCGCAGAATAACGGGTCAGCTTCACTTTTGTAACTATAGTCATTGCAACCAGTTCAACTGCTATGGGGCCAAGGACAGGAGGAGGGCCCCCATAGGGAGGCTGTTATGGAAGTCTAAATGGGGGGGGGGGGGGGCTTCCAGAATAGATTGGCCGTCACAGGCTCAGACATGTTCCATCCATGTGTGAGGGTCATCCTGTGTCCGACATACAACCCACAGACCCACCACAAATGGCATTTCATGTGTTATGTATGTAATGCTCACTGCCTCTTGCATGCGTGTGGATATGCTGCACGCCTCCGGCACCAGGAGTGTTCTGCACCACATTTGTGCGTGTTCCAGGACCCCCTGGTATCTGAGCGGAGGGGGCTAAGATACCTATCAAGAGCCCCTGTACTGTGCCCTCCTGACTCCCCCTGTACTGTGCCCTCCTCCTGACCCCCCCTCATACTGCACCCTCCTGACTCCCCATGTATTGCGCCCTCCTGACTCCCCCCGTACTGAGCCCTCCTGACTCCTCCCGTACTGTGCCCTCCTGACCCCCCCCTGTACCATGCCCTCCTGACCCCCCTGTACCTGCCCTCCCCCCTGTACCGTGCCCTCCTGACTCCCCCTGTACCGTGCCCTCCTGACTCCACCCTTTACCGTGCCCCCCAGACTCCCCCTGTACCGTGCCCTCCAGATTCCTCCTGTACCGTGCCCTCCTGACTCCCCCTGTACTGAGCCCTCATGACTCCCCCCTGTACCGTGCCCTCCTGACTCCCCCTGTACTGTGCCCTCCTGACTCCCCCCTGTACTGTGCCCTCCTGACTCCCCCCTACAAGAGGGATAGGAGGGCCTGATCCTGGGAGCTTACAATCTAGGAGGGAGGGGCTAGTGGTATAAAAGGTAGTAACTGTGGGGGATGGGCTGGTAGGAGGAGTAGAAGATTCCAGTATTAGCTGAGGGCAGGATAGGCTTCCCTGAAGAGATCGGTTTTCAGAGATCACCTAAAAGTGGGATGAGTAGGCGATAGTCTGATAGATTGGGGTAGAGAGTTCCAGAGGATGGGGGAAGCTCTAGAGAATTCCTGGAGATGATTATGGGAGGAGGAGACAAGGGAGCTAGAGAGCAGGAGGTTGTGCGAGGAGCGGAGAGTACGGTTTGGGTGGTATTTGGAGATAAGATCGGTAATGTAATTTGGGGCGGAGTTATAAATGGCTTTATATGTTATTGTTAATGTTTTGAATTTTATCCGTTGGGCAACTGGGAGCCAGTGGAGGGATTGGCAGAGAGGGGTGGAGGACACTGGAAGAGGGGTGGAGGACACTGAGTGGAGGTCAGTGGAGGGATTGGCAGAGAGGGATGGAGGACACTGAGTGGAGGCCAGTGGAGGGATTGGCAGAGAGGGGTGGAGGACACTGAGTGGAGGCCAGTGGAGGGATTGGCAGAGAGGGGTGGAGGACACTGAGTGGAGACCACTGGAGGGATTGGCAGAGGGGGGTGGAGGACACTGAGTGGAGGCCAGTGGAGGGATTGGCTGAGAGGGGTGGAGGACACTGAATGGAGGCCAGTGGAGGGATTGGCAGAGGGGGGGTGGCTGATACAGAACGGTTAGTAAGGTGGATGAGTCTAGCAGCAGCATTCATGATAGACTGAAGAGGGATAGCCTGCGATGAGGTCGGCCAATGAGAAGGGAGTTACAATAGTCAAGGTGAGAGATAACAAGGGAGGGAATAAGTTGCTTAGTGGTTTCCAAGGTTAGGAACGGGCCTATCTTGGAGATGTTGCGGAGGTTGGAGATGTTGCGGAGGTTGGAGATGTTGCGGAGGTTGGAGATGTTGCGGAGGTTGGAGATGTTGCGGAGGTTGGAGATGTTGCGGAGGTTGGAGATGTTGCGGAGGTTGGAGATGTTGCGGAGGTTGGAGATGTTGGAGGTTGGAGATGTTGCGGAGGTGAAGTCTACAAGATTTGGACAGTGATTGGATTTGGAGCTGAAAGGACAGATGGGAGTCTAGGATTACACACCTAGTACCCTGGCATGAGGGGAGGGACTGATTGTAGTGTTATTGATCTTGATGGAGAAGTCGGGGGAGGGGGGCACGGGCTGGAGGGAATACTAAGAGCTCAGTTTTGGAAAGATTGAGTTTGAGGAAGTGGAGTGACATCCATGCAAATATGTTGCTTAGTAGGTTAGTAATGCGAGAGGAGACTGAAGGGGTGAGGTGAGGAGGAGACTGAAGGGGTGAGGTGAGGAGGAGACTGAAGGGGTGAGGTGAGTAGGAGACTGAAGGGGTGAGGTGAGTAGGAGACTGAAGGGGTGAGGTGAGGAGAAGACTGAAGGGGTGAGGTGAGGAGAAGACTGAAGGGGTGAGGTGGGGGGGGTAGACAGATTTGTGTGTCATCAGCATAGAGGTGGTAGTTGAAGCCGTGGGAGTTTATCAAGTGACCAAGGGAGGAGGTGTAGATGGAGAAGAGAAGGGTTCAAGGACAGAACCTTGAGGGACCCCTACAATGAGAGGGACTGAAGAGGAGGAGGCAGCGTTATAGGTAACACTGAAGGAGCGCTGCGATAGGTAGGAGGAGAACCAGGAGAGAACGGAGTCTCTGAGGCCAAGAGAGTGGAGTTTTTTGAGGAGGTGGGGATGGTCAACCATATCAAAAGCCACAGAGAGGTCAAGTAGTAAGAATATGGAGTAGTGGCCATTGGTTGGGATGAGTACGGAGTAGTGGTCATTGGTTGGGATGAGTACGGAGTAGTGGTCATTGGTTGGGATGAGTACGGAGTAGTGGCCATTGGTTGGGATGAGTACGGAGTAGCGGCCATTGGTCGGGATGAGTACGGAGTAGTGGCCATTGGTCGGGATGAGTGCGGAGTAGTGGCCATTGGTTGGGAGGAGTACGGAGTAGCGGCCATTGGTTGGGAGGAGTACGGAGTAGCGGCCATTGGTCGGGATGAGTACGGAGTAGTGGCCATTGGTCGGGATGAGTGCGGAGTAGCGGTCATTGGTTGGGATGAGTACGGAGTAGTGGCCATTGGTTGGGATGAGTACGGAGTAGCGGCCATTGGTTGGGAGGAGTACGGAGTAGCGGCCATTGGTCAGGATGAGTACGGAGTAGTGGCCATTGGTCGGGATGAGTGCGGAGTAGTGGCCATTGATTGGGAGGAGTACGGAGTAGCGGCCATTGGTTGGGAGGAGTACGGAGTAGGGGCCATTGGTTTGGATGAGTACGGAGTAGTGGCTATTGGTCGGGATGAGTACGGAGTAGTGGCCATTGGTCGGGATGAGTGCGGAGTAGTGGCCATTGGTTGGGAGGAGTACGGAGTAGCGGCCATTGGTTGGGAGGAGTACGGAGTAGTGGCCATTGGTTGGGATGAGTACGGAGTAGCGGCCATTGGTTTGGATGAGTACGGAGTAGTGGCCATTGGTCGGGATGAGTACGGAGTAGTGGCCATTGGTTTGGATGAGTACGGAGTAGTGGCCATTGGTCGGGATGAGTACGGAGTAGTGGCCATTGGTCGGGATGAGTACGGAGTAGTGGCCATTGGTCGGGATGAGTACGGAGTAGTGGCCATTGGTCGGGATGAGTACGGAGTAGTGGCCATTGGTCGGGATGAGTACGGAGTAGTGGCCATTGGTCGGGATGAGTACGGTGTAGTGGCCATTGGTTGGGATGAGTACGGTGTAGTGGCCATTGGTTGGGATGAGTACGGTGTAGTGGCCATTGGTTGGGAGGAGTACGGAGTAGTGGCCATTGGTTGGGAGGAGTTGGGAGGAGTACGGAGTAGTAGCCATTGGTTGGGAGGAGTACGGAGTAGTGGCCATTGGTTTTAGCAGTTAGTAGATCATTAGTGAGGTTTAGTAGGGCGATGTCAGTGGAGTGTAGTGAGTGAAAGCCAGACTGTGAAGGGTGAAGAAGGTTGTTGTCGGTGAGGGAGGAGCTCAGGTGATTGTAGACTAAGCGTTCTAGGCGTTTAGAGTTAAATGCAGCAGGGAGATGGGTCTTATGTAGTTCAGGTTGGTGGGGTCCAGGGAGGGCTTGTTAAGTATGGGAGTGATGTGCGCATGCTTTAGAGGGGAGGGGAAGGCACCAGTAGAGAGAGGGAGAGATTGAAGATGTGAGTGAGGGAGCGTAGGATGGAAGAAGAGGGTGACCGTAGTAGTTGTGAGGGGACAGGATCCAGGGGGCAGGTGGGGAGACGGGCTTCTGAGAAAACCTTAGTGACCTCTTCGGTAGTAGAAGGTCAGAAGAGGAAAGTGTTGGGGGAGGTTTAGTATAAGGTATGCTAAGTGGGATGGATGTCTGTGCAGTGGAGATGCCCCTACAAATTGCATCAATCTTGTTTTTGAAATGATCTGCAATCTTGTGAGCAGTGAGTGAGGTACTGGGTGGAGGTGCTGGGTGGGGGTGGAGGTGAATGAGATGCTGGGTGGAGGTGGAGGTGAATGAGATGCTGGGTGGAGGTGGAGGTGAATGAGATGCTGGGTGGAGGTGGAGGTGAATGAGATGCTGGGTGGAGGTGAGTGAGGTACTGGGTGGAGGTGGAGAAAGTAGAGAGTTAAAAGTAGAGAAGAGATGACGAGGACTGGATGACAAGTTATTGATGAGAGTGACAAAGTTGGCTTGTTTGGCAGCATGGAGGGAGGAATTGTATGAGAAGAAAGCAGATTTATATCGGGTGAATACTTGCTGGGATTTATTTTTACGCCACAATCGCTCCAGCGCACGACTATGTCATTTAAGATGTCCGGTGTGGTCAGTCTGCCGTGGTTGTAACGGTCGGGGCCTGATGCTTCGTGTTGTTAGAGGACCAAGTGAGTCTAATGTGGATGAAAGTGAACTGTTGTAGACAGCAGTGGCCAGATCAGGGCAGGACAGGGGAGAGATTCTGTCATAGAGTTGGTCAGTTGCAGAGTGGAAAGGAGCCGGGTTCAAGTTGTGAAGTTGTGATTTCTCATTGTCTGTGGACGTTCCTTTCTCATTCTCGGCCTTCTGGTCGGAGGAGGCGTTCCCCCGTGTGATTGGAGGGTCCACTGCTGTCGGGGGGGGGGGGGGGCACAACGGTCTATTCTGTAAGCGCTGAACTTGCTACATTGTAATTCATGATTTCCTGTTCGTCTGTCCGTGTATCTCTTCTAGATATATGATTGGCCCCGAGGAAGGGACTGTGGCCCCGCAACATGGCAGGCGTTCTCTTCAGTCTTTCAATGTTCCCGGCCCCCCCTACAGGATGACTTTGGTGGTAACTTCTGCGCTGTATCACGGGTTGTCATCCTTGTGAGCACACGTCAGGGCGATTGTTGCGGGAACACCGTACAGCAACATTGTATCCAAAATTGTCTGCGTGTGACGTGATGATCAATAAAGGATCTGACTGTCCTGTGTATGTGGTCTGTGTGCCTAGAAGGCCATTTATATCTTCTCCTCTTCTATACAGAGTATATACCGGGGAGTAGTATGCCAAATACAGTATATATATATAAAAAAATCTGAAGACTATATTTAAAAAAATATTTTTCATATATTTTGTAATATATAAAAAATATGCATTTCAACATGCAGTGTATATATATATATATATGGAAATATATTGAATACGGCCAAAATGTTTGTATTTCAAATATATATATTAAAAAAAAATCTGAAGAATATATTTTAAAACAATATACTTTTAAAAATATATTTTTCATATATTTTGTAATATATATATATATATAAAATATATAATAAATAATTTCAACATGCAGTATATATATATATATATATATATATATAGGTATATATATAAAATATACACTGAAATATATTTTGAAATATATTGAATACGGCCAAAAATTTTGGTATTTCAAATATATATATAAAAAAAAAATCCGAAGGATATATTTAAAAAATATATTTTTCATATTAAAAAATGCATTTTTAATATATTTTTATTAGTCAGCAAGGTAAGTATCATCATTGGTGTCAGTGGGAGGGATAGTGCCCCATCATTGGTGTCACTAATACCAACGATGGGGCACTATTCCTCCCCCACTGACACCAACGATGGGCACTATTTCCTCCCCCCACTGACAACCAACGATGGAGCACTATTCCTCCCCCCACTGACACCAACGATGGGGACACTATTCCTCCCCCCACTGACACCAACGATGGGGCACTATTCCTCCCCCCACTGACACCAACGATGGGGCACTATTCCTCCCCCCACTGACACCAACGATGGGGCACTATTCTCTCCCCCACTGACACCAACGATGGGGCACTATTCCTCCCTCCACTGACACCAACGATGGGGCACTATTCCTCCCCCTGGCACCCACAATGGGGCACTATTCCTCCCACTGACACCAATGATGGGGCACTATTCCTCCCACTGACACCAATGAATGGGGCACTATTCCTCCCACTGACACCAATGATGGGGCACTACATTTCCTACCACTGACACCCAATGATGGGGGCACTATTCCTCCCACTGACACCAATGATGGGCACTATTCCTCCCACTGACGCCAATGATGGGGAACTTATTCCTCCCACTGATGCCAATGATGGGGGCACTATTCCTCCCACTGACACCAATGATGGGGCACTATTCCTCCCACTGACACCAATGATGGGCACTATTCCTCCCACTGACACCAATGATGGGGCACTATTCCTCCCACTGATACCAATGATGGGGCAAAATTCCTCCCACTGATACCAATGATGGGGCACTATCTTCCCACTGACACCCAATGATGGGGCACCATTCCTCCCACTGACACCAATGATGGGGGCGCACTATTCCCCCCACTGATACCAATGATGGGGCACTATATCTCCCACTGATGATGCCAATGATGGGGCACTACTATTCCTCCCACTGACACCAATGATGGGGCACTATTCCTCCCACTGACACCAAATGATGGGGCACTATTCCCCCCACTGATGCCAATGATGGGACACTATTCCTCCCACTGACACCAATGATGGGGCACTATTCCTCCACTGACACCAATGATGGGGCACTATTCCTCCAAACTGACACCAATGATGGGGCACTATTTCCTCCACTGACACCAATGATGGGACACTATTCCTCCCACTGACACCAACGATGGGGCACTATTCCTCCCACTGACACCAACGATGGGCACTATTCCTCCCACTGATACCAACGATGGGACACTATTCCTCCCACTGACACCCAACGATGGGGCACTATTCCTCCCACTGACACCAACGATGGGGAACTATTCTCCCACTGAATACCAACGATGGGGAACTATTCCTCCCACTGACACCAATGAGGGGCACTAATTCCTCCCACTGATACCAATGATGGGGCACTATTCCTCCCACTGACACCAATGAATGGGGCACTATTCCTCCCACTGACACCAATGATGGGGCACTATTCCTCCCACACTGACACCAATGATGGGGGGCTCTATTCCTCCCACTGACACCAATGATGGGGCACTATTCCTCCCACTGACACCAATGATGGGGCACTATTCCTCCCACTGACACCAATGATGG